CTCCCCCTCCCCGGCAGCCGACGGTGAAGTACGAGACGCAGCCGCGGTTCATCACGGCGACGGGGGGGACCCTGCACCTCTACCAGCTGGAGGGGCTCAACTGGCTGCGCTTCTCCTGGGCCCAGAGCACCGACACCATCCTGGCCGACGAGATGGGGCTGGGCAAGACCATCCAGACCATCGTCTTCCTCTACTCCCTCTACAAGGAGGTGAGGGCGCTCTCCGCCGGCCCTCCGTGTCACCCTCCCGGCCCTGGGGTGTCTCCTTTGGCCACCGGTGTCGTCCTCCTGGCCCTGAGATCTCTCCCTTGGCCACTGGTGTCACCCTCTTGGCCATGATGTCTCTCCCTTGGCCACTGGTGTCTCTCCCTTGGCCACTGGTTTCTCTCCCTTGGCCACTGGCATCACCCACTTGGCCCTGGGGTCTCTCCCTTGGCCACTGATGTCACCCTCTTGGCCATGATGTCTCTCCCTTGGCCACTGGTGTCTCTCCCTTGGCCACCGGTGTCGTCCTCCTGGCCCTGAGATCTCTCCCTTGGCCACTGGTGTCTCTCCCTTGGCCACTGGTGTCACCTACCTCGCCCTGGTGCCTCTCCCTTGGCCACTGGCATCACCCTCTTGGCCATGATGTCTCTCCCTTGGCCACTGGTGTCACCCCCCTCGCCCTGGTGCCTCTCCCTTGGCCACTGGCATCACCCTCTTGGCCATGATGTCTCTCCCTTGGCCACTGGTGTCACCCACCTCGCCCTGGGGTCACCCACATGGCCCCCGCTCTTTCATTTGGCCACTGGTGTTACCTGCTTGGCCATTGGTTTCACCCTCTTGGCCATGATGTCTCCCTTGGCCACTGGTGTCACCCACCCAGCCCCAGTCTCTCCCTTGGCCACTGGTGTCACCCCCCTGGCCCTGGGGTCTCTCCCTTGGCCACTGGTGTCACCCACTTGGCCATTGCTGTCACCCCCCTGGCTCCTGGTGTCACCCAACTGGCCCCCCGTCTCTCCCTTAGCCCCTGGTGTCACCCCCCTGGCCCCTGGTGTCACCCACGTGGCCCCTGGTCTTTCCTTTGGCCACTGGTGGCACGCTCTTGGCCCTGGGGCCTCTCCCTTGGCCACTGACGTCACCCTCTTGGCCATGATGTCTCCCTTGGCCACTGGTGTCACCCTCCCAGCCCTGGTGTCTCTACTTTGGCCACTGGCGTCACCCCCCTGGCCCCTGGTGTCACCCTCCTGTCCCTAGTCTCTCATTTGGCCACTGGTGTCTCTTCTTTGGCCACTGGTGTCTCTCCCTTGGCCGTGATGTCTTTCCTCTGGCCCCTGGCCCCCAGTGTCACCCGCTTGGGCATTGGTGTCACCTGCCCGGTTCCTAGTGTCACCTACCTGGCCCCGGTCTCTCCCTTGGCCACTGGTGTCACCCCCCTGGCCCTGGGGTCTCTCCCTTGGCCACTGGTGTCACCCACTTGGCCATTGCTGTCACCCCCCTGGCTCCTGGTGTCACCCAACTGGCCCCCCGTCTCTCCCTTAGCCCCTGGTGTCACCCCCCTGGCCCCTGGTGTCACCCACGTGGCCCCTGGTCTTTCCTTTGGCCACTGGTGGCACGCTCTTGGCCCTGGGGCCTCTCCCTTGGCCACTGACGTCACCCTCTTGGCCATGATGTCTCCCTTGGCCACTGGTGTCACCCTCCCAGCCCTGGGGTCTCTCCTTTGGCCACTGGTGTCACCCTCTTGGCCCTGGTGTCTCTACTTTGGCCACTGGCGTCACCCCCCTGGCCCCTGGTGTCACCCTCCTGTCCCTAGTCTCTCATTTGGCCACTGGTGTCTCTTCTTTGGCCACTGGTGTCTCTCCCTTGGCCGTGATGTCTTTCCTCTGGCCCCTGGCCCCCAGTGTCACCCGCTTGGGCATTGGTGTCACCTGCCCGGTTCCTAGTGTCACCTACCTGGCCCTGGAGTCTCTCCCTTGGCCACTGATGTCTCTCCCTTGGCCACTGCTGTCACCCCCCTGGCGCCTGGTGTCACCCACGTGGCCCCTGGTCTCTCCCTTGGCTACTGGTGTCACCCTCCTGGCCATGTTGTCTCTCCCTTGGCCACTGGTGTCACTCCCCTAGCCACTGGTGTCCCTCCCTTGGCCAGTGGTGTCACCCTCCTGGCCCTGTTGTCTCTTCTTTGGCCACTGGTGTCACTCACTTGGCCACTGGTGTCACCCACCTGGCCCTGGTGTGTCTCTCTTGGCCACTGGTGTCACCCTCCTGGCCCTGTTGTCTCTTCTTTGGCCACCGGTGTCACTCACTTGGCCACTGGTGTCACCCACCTGGCCCTGGTGTGTCTCCCTTGGCCACTGGCGTCACCAACTTGGCCCCCGGTCTCTCATTTTGCCACTGGTGTCACCTGCTTGGCTACTGGTGTCACCCACTTGGCCCTGGTGTCTCTCCTTTGGCCACTGGTGTCACTTCCTTGGCCACCGGTGTCACCCACCTGGTCCCCAGTGTCACCCACCTGGCCCTGGTGTCACCTGCCTGGCACACATGTCCCCCGTGTGCCGCGCTGTCCCCACATCCCCCCAAGAATCCCATCCCACGCTGTCCCCATGTCCCACGATGTCCCCACGTCCCCCAAGGCCCCCTCCCGTGCTGGCCCCATGGCCCCTGTCCTGTGCTCCCCCCCTCCCCCCCGTGTTGTCACAACTGTCCCCAAGGGCCCCATCCCCGTGTCCCCGTGTGACGCGCTGTCCCCCAGGGCCACACCAAGGGCCCGTTCCTCGTCAGCGCCCCGCTCTCCACCATCATCAACTGGGAGCGGGAGTTCCAGATGTGGGCCCCCGCCTTCTACGTTGTCACCTACACCGGGGACAAGGACAGCCGGGCCATCATCCGCGAGAACGAGTTCTCCTTCGATGACAACGCCATGAAGGGCGGCAAGAAGGCCTTCAAGATGAAGGTGAGAGGGACATCTGGTCCCCTTGGGGTGGCACCTGGATGCCTGGGTGCCCTTTAGGGGGGATGAGGTGGCACCTGGACATCTGGTCCCCTTGGGGTGGCACCTGGATGCCTGGGTGCCCTTTAGGGGGGATGAGGTGGCACCTGGACATCTGGTCCCCTTGGGGTGGCACCTGGATGCCTGGGTGCCCTTTAGGGGGGATGAGGTGGCACCTGGACATCTGGTCCCCTTGGGGTGGCACCTGGATGCCTGGGTGCCCTTTAGGGGGGATGAGGTGGCACCTGGACATCTGGTCCCCTTGGGGTGGCACCTGGATGCCTGGGTCCCCTTTAGGGGTGATGAGGTGGCACCCGGACATCTGGTCCCTTTAGGGGTGAGGGGGTGGCACCCAGACACCTGAGTCCCTTTGTGGTGGCACCAGGATGTCTGGGTGCCCTTAGAGGTGGGGGGTGGCACCTGGACACATGGGTCCTCTTGGGGTGGTACCTGGGCATCTGGTCCCCTTGGGGTGGCACCTGGATGCCTGGGTCCCCTTTGGGGTGATGAGGTGGCACCTGGACTCCTGGGCCCCTTTAGGGGTGATGAGGTGGCACCCGGACATCTGGTCCCTTTAGGGGTGAGGGGGTGGCACCCAGACACCTGAGTCCCTTTGTGGTGGCACCAGGATGTCTGGGTGCCCTTAGAGGTGGGGGGTGGCACCTGGACACATGGGTCCTCTTGGGGTGGTACCTGGGCATCTGGTCCCCTTGGGGTGGCACCTGGATGTCTGGATGGCCTTAGGGGTGATGGGGTGGCACCTCGACATCTGGGTCCCTTTGGGGTGGCACCCGGACACCTGGGTCCCCAGGGGGTTGGGGTGCTGGGGGTGCCCTGGACACTGTGGTCCCAGGGGAAGTTGGGGTGCCAGGACGTCCACATGGCCAGGGTGCCAGGGTGGCCAGATGCCAGGAGGTCAAGGTTTGGTGGCCACCAGGATTCTAGGGGGAGGTCGAGGTGGCAGGTGGAGGTGGTGGGTGGTCTTGCAGGGGGTCAGGGTGCCCTGGGGACCCCCCCAGGTGCCCCCCTCCGGGTGCTTGGGGGGGCTCAGGGTGTCAGGAGGTCCAGGGTGACCAGGGTGCCAGGGTGGCCAGATGCCGGGAGGTAGCGGTTTGGTGGCCACCAGGATTCTAGGGGGAGGTCGAGGTGGCAGGTGGAGGTGGTGGGTGGTGGCGCAGGGGGTCGGGGTGCCCTGGGGACCCCCTTGGGTGCCCCCCCCGAGTGCTTGGGGGTTCTTGGTGCCAGAAGGTCAAGGTGCTGGGATGATGAGATGCTGGAGGTTGAGGTTTGGTGGCCACCAGGCTCCTGGGAGGAGGTCGAGGTGGCAGGTGGAGGTGGTGGATGGTCTTGCAGGGGGTCGCGGTGCCCTGGGGACCCCCCTGGGTGCCCCCCCGGGTGCTTGGGGGTTCTTGGTGCCAGAAGGTCAAGGGGCTGGGGTGATGAGATGCTGGAGGTTGAGGTTTGGTGGCCACCAGGCTCCTAGAGGGAGGTCGAGGTGGCAGGTGGAGGGGGTGGGTGGTGGCGCAGGGGGTTGGGGGGCCCTGGGGACCCCCCTGGGTGCCCCCCCGGGTGCTTGGGGGTTCTTGGTGCCAGAAGGTCAAGGTGCTGGGATGATGAGATGCTGGAGGTTGGGGTTTGGTGGCCACCAGGCTCCCAGAGGGAGGTCGAGGTGGCAGGTGGAGGTGGTGGATGGTCTTGCAGGGGGTCGCGGTGCCCTGGGGACCCCCCCAGGTGCCCCCCTCCGGGTGCTTGGGGGGGCTCAGGGTGTCAGGAGGTCCAGGGTGACCAGGGTGCCAGGGTGGCCAGATGCCGGGAGGTAGCGGTTTGGTGGCCACCAGGATTCTAGGGGGAGGTCGAGGTGGCAGGTGGAGGTGGTGGGTGGTGGCGCAGGGGGTCGGGGTGCCCTGGGGACCCCCTTGGGTGCCCCCCCCGAGTGCTTGGGGGTTCTTGGTGCCAGAAGGTCAAGGTGCTGGGATGATGAGATGCTGGAGGTTGAGGTTTGGTGGCCACCAGGCTCCTGGGAGGAGGTCGAGGTGGCAGGTGGAGGTGGTGGGTGGTGGCGCAGGGGGTTGGGGTGCCCTGGGGACCCCCCTGGGTGCCCCCCCGGGTGCTTGGGGGTTCTTGGTGCCAGAAGGTCAAGGTGCTGGGATGATGAGATGCTGGAGGTTGGGGTTTGGTGGCCACCAGGCTCCCAGAGGGAGGTCGAGGTGGCAGGTGGAGGTGGTGGATGGTCTTGCAGGGGGTCGCGGTGCCCTGGGGACCCCCCCAGGTGCCCCCACCTTGTGGGGGACTCAGGGTGCCAGAAGGTCAAGGTGCTGGGATGATGAGATGGTGGAGGTTGAGGTTTGGTGGCCACCAGGATTCCAGGAGGAGGTCGGGGTGTTGGGTGGAGGTGGTGGGTGGTCTTGCAGGAGGTTGGGGTGCCCTGGGGACCCCCCCAGCTGTGTCGTTGTCCCCCCCCCAAAATGGGGTGCTGTTGTCGTTGGCAGCGGGAGGCGCAGGTGAAGTTCCACGTGCTGCTGACGTCCTACGAGCTGATCACCATCGACCAGGCGGCGCTGGGCTCCATCCGCTGGGCCTGCCTGGTGGTGGACGAGGCCCATCGCCTCAAGAACAACCAGTCCAAGGTGCCCGCGCCCCCCCGGGGGCACCCCTGGGGACGGGGAGGGGGACCGACGGGGGGGTCACTTGGCTGGGGGGGCGTGGGACCACTGGGAAGGGCAACCGGGCAACTGGGGCAACTGGGGAGAGAGGCATTTGGATGCTTTGGGCTACTGGGAAGGGCATCTGGGCAACTGGGTCCCCATGGTGGGGGGGCACCCCAATGCCTGGGGCTACTGGGTGGGGGCACTTGGGTGCCTGGGGCCACTGGGAAGGGCACCCGGGCACCTGGGGCCATTGGGAAGAGAGGCATTTGGATGCTTTGGGCTACTGGGAAGGGCATCTGGGCAACTGGGTCCCCATGGTGGGGGGGCACCCCAATGCCTGGGGCTACTGGGTGGGGGCACTTGGGTGCCTGGGGCCACTGGGAAGGGCACCCGGGCACCTGGGGCCATTGGGAAGAGAGGCATTTGGATGCTTTGGGCTACTGGGAAGGGCATCTGGGCAACTGGGTCCCCATGGTGGGGGGGCACCCCAATGCCTGGGGCTACTGGGTGGGGGCACTTGGGTGCCTGGGGCCACTGGGAAGGGCACCCGGGCACCTGGGGCCATTGGGAAGAGAGGCATTTGGATGCTTTGGGCTACTGGGAAGGGCATCTGGGCAACTGGGTCCCCATGGTGGGGGGGCACCCCAATGCCTGGGGCTACTGGGTGGGGGCACTTGGGTGCCTGGGGCCACTGGGAAGGGCACCCGGGCACCTGGGGCCATTGGGAAGAGAGGCATTTGGATGCTTTGGGCTACTGGGAAGGGCATCTGGGCAACTGGGTCCCCATGGTGGGGGGGCACCCCAATGCCTGGGGCTACTGGGTGGGGGCACTTGGGTGCCTGGGGCCACTGGGAAGGGCACCCGGGCACCTGGGGCCATTGGGAAGAGAGGCATTTGGATGCTTTGGGCTACTGGGAAGGGCATCTGGGCAACTGGGTCCCCATGGTGGGGGGGCACCCCAATGCCTGGGGCTACTGGGTGGGGGCACTTGGGTGCCTGGGGCCACTGGGAAGGGCACCCGGGCACCTGGGGCCATTGGGAAGAGAGGCATTTGGATGCTTTGGGCTACTGGGAAGGGCATCTGGGCAACTGGGTCCCCATGGTGGGGGGGCACCCCAATGCCTGGGGCTACTGGGTGGGGGCACTTGGGTGCCTGGGGCCACTGGGAAGGGCACCCGGGCACCTGGGGCCATTGGGAAGAGAGGCATTTGGATGCTTTGGGCTACTGGGAAGGGCATCTGGGCAACTGGGTCCCCATGGTGGGGGGGCACCCCAATGCCTGGGGCTACTGGGTGGGGGCACTTGGGTGCCTGGGGCCACTGGGAAGGGCACCCGGGCACCTGGGGCCATTGGGAAGAGAGGCATTTGGATGCTTTGGGCTACTGGGAAGGGCATCCGGGCAACTGGGTCCCCTGGGTGCCTGGGGCTACTGGGGAGAGAGGTATTTGGGTGCCTGGGGCTACTGGGATCACTGGGAAGGGCACCTCAATGCCTGGGTCCCCAGGTTGGGGGGCACCCCAATGCCTGGGGCTACTGGGTGGGGGCACTTGGGTGCCTGGGGCTACTGGGAAGGGCACCTGGGCAACTGGGTCCCCTGGGTGGGGGGCACTTGGGTGCCTGGGGCTACTGGGGAGAAGAGGTATTTGGATGCCTGGGGCTACTGGGATCACTGGGAAGGGCACCCCAATGCCTGGGGCTACTGGGGGGGGGCACTTGGGTGCCTGGGGCTACTGGGAAGGGCACCCGGGCAACTGGGTCCCCTGGGTGGGGGGCACTTGGGTGCCTGGGGCTACTGGGGAGAGAGGTATTTGGATGCCTGGGGCTACTGGGATCACTGGGAAGGGCACCCCAATGCCTGGGGCTACTGGGAATGGTACCTGGGCACCTGGGGCTACTGGGGAGAGAGGTATTTGGGTGCCTGGGGCTACTGGGATCACTGGGAAGGGCACCCCAATGCCTGGAGCTATGGGGTGGGGGGCACCCCAATGCCTGGGGCTACTGGGTGGGGGCACTTGGGTGCCTGGGGCCACTGGGAAGGGCACCCGGGCACCTGGGGCCATTGGGAAGAGAGGCATTTGGATGCTTTGGGCTACTGGGAAGGGCATCCGGGCAACTGGGTCCCCTGGGTGCCTGGGGCTACTGGGGAGAGAGGTATTTGGGTGCCTGGGGCTACTGGGATCACTGGGAAGGGCACCTCAATGCCTGGGTCCCCAGGTTGGGGGGCACCCCAATGCCTGGGGCTACTGGGTGGGGGCACTTGGGTGCCTGGGGCTACTGGGAAGGGCACCTGGGCAACTGGGTCCCCTGGGTGGGGGGCACTTGGGTGCCTGGGGCTACTGGGGAGAAGAGGTATTTGGATGCCTGGGGCTACTGGGATCACTGGGAAGGGCACCCCAATGCCTGGGGCTACTGGGGGGGGGA